TGCAGTGCCACAAGATCATCTCGATTTGGAGCTTTACGGTTCATCTATTCCTGGGGGATGGCCCAAACATTTCTCCGGATCGATGGTCGAGAATGTTTTAGAGGATGGCAGCTCATCATCAAGTGACGCTACCTCACCGATGTGGAAGAACAGGCTAGATTTCTTGTCGCTTGTGCAACGATGTGCTAATGTGTTGCTCTTGGGAAGAAAGGATATACTAACTGATGTCTTCACCAGAGCCTCTGATCGGCTTGCCATCATCGAACCAATCATTGTGGACAGAATGCAGTCCAAGCAGCTCTCCCTCGTGCACTAGTAGCCAATCATGGCTTGGAGATAGTACCTTGAAGCCGGTCAATGATGCCATACCTCTGCAAATGTGGACAATATTCCTTGAAAGCAAAGCGTCTTTGCAAAACCAAAGATCATCAAATTTTGATGTTTGACTCGTGGAGGCCTAACTCGATCCCAAATTTCCTCGCTTTGAATCTGGTCCGAGCAAAATAAACCCAGCCCACCATCCGTGCGAGGCCGCAAAGGAAGAAGAACTGCGCTTAAGAAGAAGCTCGCCCTCACCACAACGGTGTCATTAAGCAGCTCCAAAGACCCTGTCCCGATCAAAAAGGCCGTGTACGAGAAAACTCTAACAAGGAAGGTTATCGTCCATCAAGTTAGCAAAATGACCCATCCAAGAAGCGCAAGATCTGTGCGCGGTAACGATTGATGAAGCTACAGACGATCGCTTCCTATCTCCATCCCAAAGGCCAAGATTGGGGTATCAAGTGTGGGGTTGATCCTAGCGATCTCATCAAGATGCGCTCTTGAGGCGCCGCAGAAACAAGTCTTCAATGATCGGTCGATGCTTGATCCATTTGGGTCTTGTGTACACGTTATGAACATCTTATTCTGTTTATGGATGATGGTTATCTATATCCTATCAGTGCATCGCCCCATCTGTCTGGTCATGCTAGTCATGCCAGTTGTTGTCTTCTCCCCTTTCTGGTTCCCCGATGAATACACGTAATTGGTATATACTATGTTGGAACATACGGGGATCAATGCAACGGAGAAGTGGGATGTCATCTCATGATAAAATAGAAGAAAGCGCCAGATTCATCATTTGCTTGCAAGAAATGAAGCGAGAATCTTTTGATATTACTTACATCAGGAAATTTGCCCCTCGTCGCTTTGATTGCTTTGACTTCATCCCATCAGTTGGTGCCTCGGGCGGAATTCTAGTTCTTTGGAACAGCGCTATCTTCACAGGCACTATCCTTGATAAACAAAGCTTTGGTATGATAGTGAGTTTTAGTTCAATGCATAACAATGATGTTTGGAAGTTGACAACAGCTTTATGGCCCTTGTGATGAGCCAACCCAAGACAAATTTCATCAACTGTTTCATGACCATGACATTGATGACTTGGACAACTGGATTTTCTTAGGTGACTTTAACTTCTATAGATCCCTAAGTAACCGCAATAAGCCCGTGGTAACTTGTCGACACACTTGTTTTCAACGATGCTATTGGACATCTAGGTCTTGTTGAACCGCCTCAAGGGGCGTGCTTTCACGTGGAGCAACATGCGTCCAACCCCACTCCTTGAGCAACTTTTGATTGGTTCTTTACCTCACCTAATCGGACACTAGATTTTCCAAATACAGAGGTCCTCCCAATGGCAAAGATAACCTCCGATCATATCTCGTGCAAGATCACAATCAAGATCAAAGATACCAAGGGCAAATCTATTCCGCTTTGAGAACTTTTGGGTAGAGCAAGATGATTTTCTCCGCATGTCGTCGGAAGGGTGGTCCTCCCAAAGAAGCCTCTCAATCGATGCAGCCAGAATATCTCGTCCAAATTCAAAGGATTACGTACAACCTCAAGAACTGGAGCAAGAACATATCCAATTTACTGGCTTCTCATCGAAATCGCAATCATGTCATATGCTTTCTTGATCACCGGAAGATAGACGTGGTCTCTTTAACCCGAAGCTAACCTCGTGAATGTAGTCAAAAGGCATTGACTTGGCTACATTACAAAAACCTATATTAGCGAAAGCGCTACACAAGAAATGTAATCAAATTGGGAGATGAATGTACCAAGTTCTTTCATGGCATGGCAACCATATCCTATAGAAGAAACACCATCTCACGAGATCTTGAATGAGCATGGAGCCCGGGTTCAGAACATGAAAGCAAAGCCGGGCTTTTATGGACTTCTTACAGAAATCGAATGGGCACTACTTCCTCCCCCACCATGCTCTTTTTGATCTTGCTAGCATTATCACACCAAAGAGAAGGGCTGGAGAATATAGCAAAGAACAATCCTACCCGCAGAGGTTGATTCAAGAGTCAAGCATATGCCCAATGACAAAGCTCCCGGCCGGATGGTTTTAATGGATTATTCCTCAAGAAGTGTTGGAACATTGTTAAGAATGACTTCTATCTCTTGTGTACAGGTTTCTCTTTAAGCTTGGTCAACCTAGAGAGCATAAATAAGTCTTTCATCACTTTGGTGCCCAAGAAGAACAGCCCAGAAACAGTTAACGATTTCAGGCCTATTTCACTCATGAATATTTCCCTGAAGGTAATCACCAAAGTTTTAGCTGAGAGGTTACAATCAGTCATTCTACAAGTTGTACACCAAAACCAGTATGGATTCATTCGCTCCCGCACAATCCAAGATTGTCTAGCCTGGAGTTATGAGTACATTCATCAGTGCCAACAATCCAAACGTGAGATAATTATACTCAAGCTAGACTTCGAGAAGGCATTCGATACAGTGGAGCACTCGACAATCATTCAAGTCATGAGACATTTAGGCTTCCCAGAAAGATGGCTTACTTGGGTCCATGCAATTTTATCAACGGGGTCTTCTGCAGTCTTGTTAAATGGAGTACCAGGGAAATATTTCAAGTGTAAGAGAGGTGTCCGCCAGGGTGACCCACTGTCACCGCTCTTATTTGTGCTAGCAGCTGAACTTCTGCAAGTTTTGATCAACCGAGCTGCATCTATGAACCAACTTACTGTACCAATCCCCCAACCTATGAGTGATTTCCCGATTGTTTAGTATGTGGATGATACTCTACTTCTTCTACAAGCTGACGCCAGGCAGTTATTCTTCCTCAAAGCATTGCTCCATAGCTTTCCAGCCTCGACTGGACTGCATGTCAACTACTGAAAGTCACACATGTACCCCATCAATGTCTCCCAGAAAAGTCATGCAGACCTTGCCAAGCTTTTTTGGATGTGATATTGGCTCTATGCCATTCACATATCTTGGACTCCCTATGGGTACAACTAAACCGCGCATGGAGGACCTCACACCGATGATGGATAGAGTGGAGAGGAGGCTCTCGGCTTGCTCGACCACAGTTATCTTATTCAGGAGGCTGAGATGCTTTAATTCAAATATTACACCTATCACCACATATGCAATGTGCACAAAAAAACCGCCTAAAGGAGTCATTGATAATATTGATCGCGAAGAAAGCAATGTCTATGGCGTGGTAATGACGCTAATAGAAAGAAGGGTGGCAATTTGGTAGCTTGGGAAACTGTCATGATGCCGAAAGAAAAGGGGGACTTGGTGTCCTAAACTTGAGATTGCATAATGACGCCTCACTCATGAAGCATTTAAGTAAATTCTACAACAAAGCAAATCTCCCATGGGTTCAGCTAATATGGAGCAAATACTATACCCATAAAGTCCCACATGCTTTGCTAGAGAAGTCGGATCCTTTTGGTGGAAGGATGTGCTCAGCTCAACATCATTTTCGTGGGTATTGCCAAATGTGAATTAGGCAATGGTGCTTCTATTTGTTTCTCGATGATCTCCGGACAGACTCGGTGCTATCTCGAGACATACCCAAGATTGGCCTCATTTGCTAGAAATGAAGATGCATCCATCATGGAAATTATGGAAGCGTATGATTTGGACACTATCTTTTCCTATCCCTCTCGCAGCAAGCCCTGTGAAGAACTTGAGATGCTACAAGCTCATTTGGAAGATCAACCATATGATGAGGAGGCAGCAGATCATTGGGTCCCAACCTGGGGAACACCTACACACTGTCGCTTCTACTCACAGTGTTCAACAATCTTGATGCACACCCACCTACAAGATCGTCCTGAGATCCGTGTGTACTCCACGAGTGAAATTTTTTGCTTGGTTGGTTTTAGTTGATCGGCTCAATACCAAAACTATGCTACGAAGAAGACATCTCAATATCCAAGGTGACGCCATGTGTGTCATGTGTGATGCTAGAGAAGAGGAGACTCTTGATCACCTTTTCTTTGAATGCCAATTCGCAAAGGAGTGCTGGGCAACCATTCAGATAGATTGGGATGTATCGCTATCACTGCTGGACAGGTATACACAAGCTCGTGAAGCTCATACCATTCCCTTCTTCACAAAGGCAACTCTGATAGCGGCGTGGGAGCTATGGAAGGTTCGTAACGACAAAGTGTTTCAGAGAAGAGATCCAACCCTGAGCTTACGGCTGTCGAATTTCATAAACCAATGTAATCTTCAGTCTATTCGTAAGATCATTCTTCTGTGTTTGGTTAGATGCTTTCAGTTAAGCTGCATGTAAGTAAACTATGTACCCTTGTTTTAAAAATTAATTAAAAGTCCTGCACTGTGGGGATCTCCTCCACAGTATTTTCGGTCAAAAAAAACAATCGAAGCGATGTGAGAGACAGACATTTCGTCAAATCCTCAATGCTCTGTCGAATATACTCGTCAATTCTTTCCCAATTTCATTTCACTAATAATGTTCACAAACTAAATCTTGGTTTCAGCTAGTGTACAAAGCTCACCTCTGACACATACATCTTGCTAGCATGAATTTTTTTGTCAATTTCAGCAGGCCACTCATGGCTAATTTGTCATCAGGCCTGCTGTCACCGAAGCTAAGCCACACTAAACTATCTATCTATCTAGGTTCCATGGGCCATGGCATTGGCATGTTGGGCACCACTCCAGCGAAACATGACTTACTGTCTCTTGATCTCTGCAATGTATGCCCTCCTGATTCCATGCAAGTTAATGGCTACTTCTCTCATGTTCATTCGTTCTCTTGGCGATAGACGCGTGCAAGAAAGAGCTACTTGCACCACTGATAGCAAGCATCGATAGATCTCCTGTTCTGCTTCTGGCACTGTTTGTGTAGTGCACTTGCATTCTTCTTGGAGATGAGCATCAATCTTGCCTAATATTTTATCTGGAAAATTACTCTCCACAAAGCTAACAATGTTGAGTTATTCTCAAACATCGGGTCAGTTGGTCGTTTGCCTATTACCATCTCCAGAAGTACTATACCAAAACTGTAGACATCCCCACATGTTGATGCATGAACACTTTGACCATACTCTGAAAAATAAAGTATATAAAATCCTCTGATTAGTTCCTTAACTTTTTAAGAAACGAGTAAAAGATTGCCTTATGCAAAGGTTTGACGTGGCAATGAATATATTATATACACACCTGGAGCAATATATCCTATTGTTCCCGTCACAACGACTGAACTATTAAGCCCAAAATGTCCAACAAATGAACTATTAGGCCCAGAATGTCCACCTTCTGTTGACCTAGAATCAAGAACTAAACTTGCAATGCCAAAGTCTCCCAAATGGGCATTCATATCATCGTCAAGAAGGATATTAGTTGGTTTCAGATCACAATGGACAATAGGCCTCCCACAGTCGTGGTGTAAATATGCCAAGGCATCAGCTATGCTGACGGCTATGTTGATTCTTTCTATCATGCCCAAACGTTTCAAGGCTACACTTGAAGGTTTGTGATGCAACCATGTGTCAAGATTCACATTCTGCATGAACACATAAATTAGAGCTTTAAAATCATTCCCATTGTTGTCTATCGTTGAACATGCCGTTAGGATAGGAAGAAGGTTCCGATGACGGATTCTACTCAACACTTCACATTCTGATATGAAACTTTTGTCTGCGTATCTCATCCCAAGGTCAAAAACCTTAATCGCCACTTGCATTTTAGCAAGAGTTATTTTTCCTTTGTAAACTGAACCATGGCTTCCTCTTCTAATTAGGTTTAACTCATGGAAGTTTCCTGTAGCTTGGACTACATCATTGTAAGAAACTTTAGGGAATTGCTTGCCAAAAGAAAATAGCAATAAGTATGGCCTTCCTGATGTCTTCTTCTTCCCATGGAATATAATGTATGCCAGCATTATGAGTGTCATGAAGCCAAATATTGGGATCAATGTTTTGAACAAATTGTTTATGGCTCCTACTCTTCTAGAAACAACTTGGCATGAAGGCACATGAAAATCAATGGGCCCTCCACAAAGTCCAGGATTGCCATTCAGTGAAACAACTGTAGCATTATTGAATAAACTGTTTCTTGGTATTTCTCAATTGAAACTGTTGTAAGAGAGGTCTAATATAGTGAGAAGCTCTAGATTATTTAGGTAAGCTGGAATGGGGCCAGACAAAACATTATGGGAAAGATTGAGCACGCTCAAGCTATTTAGATTGCTGAATGTGGTTGGGATGTTTCCTGTAAGAATGTTTTGGTCCATTTGGATTGTCACTAGCTGTTGGCATTGCCCCAAAGTTTCAGGAATTTCACCGCTAATTTTGTTTGATGAAACATCTAGTGAGATTAGTTGTTTTAGATTACCAAACTCAACTGGTATGATCCCATGGAAATTGTTGTAGCTAAGGTTCAAATTGTTCATTTGTTGAAGGTTTCCCAAGCTAGGTGGTACTGAACCAGTGAATTTGTTATTTGAAAAATCCAAAAGGTTCAAATTAGTAAGGCTGCTTATGGAAGGTGGAATTGTACTAACAAAGTAGTTGCCATTGAGATATACACGTTGTAAATTCGTCAAGTTTAAGACCAACTCCACAACTGTACCGGTAAAATTGTTGGCACCGAGATCGAGTTCAATTAAACCATTGAGCTTCCCAATGTTTGAGGGGACTATTCCTGATAGGTGGTTATCACTCACTAGTAGAAATGTGAGGTTAGAGGACAGGCTCGCAATCGATTTTGGTAAGACTCCCTGCAGATTATTACTAGCCAATGAAAGCACACTCAGGGAACTGCAGTTTGTAAGGGTATCAACGAATTCCCAGCCAGCACTATCGCTTGCTTCAAGCTTGTTTCTCTCAAGGTTTAGAGAAGAAAGCCCTGCAAATTTTCCGAATGTGCTAGGGATCTGGCCAGCAAACTTATTATTGGACAGGTCCAAACTTACTAGACCTGAAGCATTGCCTAGGGAAGCTGGAACGTGTCCTTCAAACATGTTATTCGCCAAGTACAGAAATTTGAGATTTGGGAGGGTGTAGCCGAAGTTGGATGGCAATGTGTTGCTCAGCTTATTCGACGTCAAGCAGCCTGTTCGGTTGGCCGTGGCTTGTCGTAAACGATTGTAAATTTCTAGCCGGAACAGTATTTTTCTCTCACACAAACCAGCCAGCAGTACTTCTTCACGAACCAGCAACGAAACGAACCAGCCAACCGAACAGGCTGAAGGATAGTTGTTGAAGAGAAGAGAAATTAGATAGATTTTGTGGGATTCCACCGGACAGATTATTATCAAAAAGGTACAACGACGATATGTGTGGCATTTGCCAAAACTCACTGGGAATGGGCCCGTTCAGTTGATTTTGTGACAGAACAAGTAGTGATAAATGGGAGATGTTGCCAAGGCCTGGTGGGATGACCCCGGAGAGATTATTTCCATTCAAGAAAAGAGATTCTAGCTTGGTAAGAGAGCCTATTCTTGGATGAATAACTCCCGTGAGGTGGTTTTTAGAGAGATCCAGACTGACTAAGTTGGAACAGTTTATAATTGCGTCGGGAAGCAAACCTTGCAAAAGGTTATTTCCGAGAGAAAGGTATTCTAGGTTGTGAAGTTTGCTAACAAGAGGTATGGGCCCCTGAAAGCTATTATTGGTTAGAACCAGCTCATTAAGGTTGGTCAGATTTCCAAGGGAGGATGAGATTTGGCCAGCTAAGTTCTGGTTGGGAAGGCTGAGCTGCGTGACGCGATATGGCGGGGTTAAGGTGCAGTTGACACCATTCCACCGGCAGAAGTGGATGTTGCTGGTCCAATTGCTCAAGGCTCCATTTGGGTCGTTGGTGATGCCGTTCTTGAAATCGAGCAATGAGTGAAAATCTTCGCTGTTCTCATGAACTGTGGAGCAATGAACCTTGCCAAGTCCATAATACAGCAGTAAGAACGGCAGTACTATTAGCATGCTGAGTATGTCCGGAAGTTTAGAACGGGGCATGATGCACTCTACTGAGACCTGCAAAAGTAAAGCATAAACTTTGTGCTATTACTAGACAGATCATTCTCCATTGATCCTGAAATCAGAGCTGCTCACTCCATTTATAAGTCGTTTTGGGTTTTTTATAGCTTTTACTTACTATCTAGATGTATAGTAAAAGTTTGTACATAGAAAAGCCAATGCAACTTAGAATGAGGCATGATGCACTTAATTGAGACCTGCAAAAATAAAGCATAAAGTTGGTGCTATTACTAGAGAAACCACACTGCGTTCAAGCTGAAACCAAAGCTATACAAAACAAGCCCCCTTTTTTCAGAAAGGGGCAGACACACACTCCGTTATATCTAGAAACCCAACACGGTTATTACAGGAAGTATATATAACATGCTAAAATGGATAATTACGTATGATTGTACCAACACTAAGTAACAAGAGAGAGTGGCTAGGGTACGTCTGCTCCGCCGGCCCGGCTGTCCTTTTAATCTGCTTCGTTTTGCTTGATAGCGAGAGTTTGAGGCTTTAATAAGTTGGATGCTCATCTCGCAGATCAGCAGAGGAGGCCGCACTTTGATGCCTTGACCGCCATCGCAGCGAGGACCGTGAGCAGTGAGTCCATCAGATTCGCCAGTTACCGCCACTTTTCCTCTTCCATTCCATTCGGCCAGCTGCGCCGTCGTTGTTGCGGCGTGTCCAGCCTCGAATCCTAGTGTACTTTTCAGTAGGAACCAGACACAGATATTCCGGGCTGATGTGCGATCCGATACCGACAATAATTGGGTCTCGTGGAATGATCTACCGGTGCTGGATTTCCGTTTTGAAATCAAATTTGGTTCTTCGTGATGATCTCGCTTCCAGAATGTATCGTGTGGGCATGATTCATCCATAGGGGTTATCTTTGACAGCTGACAGGGCCAGGTACCGGGTCCAGTCAACTTGTATGCATCTTTACCTGGACAAGAACATGTCAGCCCACTGGATCTCCGGAACGAGTGAGTCGACCACTCACCATCATTGCCGACCACGCACTGTCATTGCCGACCACACACTATGGCTAGAGGTAGAAAAAAGGAGGGAGAACAGAGCACACACACAGCACAAGCACCAGCGTTGGTCGAAGCTCTGCAGAGGAGATGGCAAACTGAACTCGCTCTCTTTACTGAGTTGCAGGGGCAAACTATATATACAACTCTACCCATCTAATCCTAGTACATAGACATGTTAGGCTATCATGCTGTTATAGTAACTAGATGTGACAGCAGGGCTGATTTTGGCGCCTGCCCCTGCTGTGGCTACAGTGCGGCAGGAGAGCCATTTGGCGCCTGCCCCTACAACTGCTATAGTGCAATAGCGGGGAGCCCTTTTCGACGCCGCCTTCCCCTGCCGTACGATCACACAAGTGGAGCAGCAGATTACTCAACAATTTTTTCCCTAATCCTACTGCTAACCCTTGAACCCCCTTCATGACGATCATCTCCATCAGCCCCGTGAACCGAAGACGTCCGAGCGGCTTGATGAGGATGTCCACGAGTTGCCGACCAGTTTCAACGAACTCGATGACGATCTGCCCTTCATCGACACAGTCTCTGAGGAAGTGGAACTTGACGTCGATGTGCTTGCTCCAGTCGTGGAGAACCGAATTCTTCGCTAGGGCGATGGCGGGCTGGTTATCCACCATCAGTGCTGGTGGGTGAGCTTCCACACCGGTCAGCTCGCCTAGCAGTCGGCGCAGCCACACTGCTTGGCACGCCGCTGTGGCCACCGCCACGTACTCTGCCTCGCACGTGGAGAGCGCCACCACCTTCTGTTTCAGCGACAGCTATGAGATTGGAGCCGATCCAAAGAAGACGAGCACGCCAGAGGTGCTCCGCCGTCCGTCGATGTCCACCGCCATGTCTACATCGCTGAACACAGTGAGCTGTAGCCTACTTTCGCCGGTTTTGGGGAAGACGATCCCATGATCCACCATCCCCTTGACGTAGCGCAGTAGCCGCTTCACTGTAGCCCAGTGATCCTCTCGAGGATCCTCCATGAAGCGAGTGACGTAGCTCACAGCGAACGTAATGTCTAGCCTCGTGTGGACTAGGTAGCGCAGCCCGCTGACGATGCTCCGGTAGATTGTTGCATCTACCTTCGCCGCGGTACTGGCCTTCGTCAGCTTTAACCGCTCCTCCATCGGAGTCACGCACGGCTTGCACTCAGCCATGCCGCTCCGCTCTAACAGCTTCGAGGTGTACGTGCTCTGACTGAGCATGAGTGTCTCCTTCCCCTGTCTCACCTCGACGCCGAGGTAGTAGGAGAGTGTGCCGAGATCGCTCATTCAAAAACGAGCCGCCATCTCGCGCTTAAAGCTATCGATGTCCTCTGCATGTGCACCGATGACGATCAAGTCATCCACATACATGCCGACGACGAGCTCCTCCTTCCCCCATTGTCACGTGTAGAGCGCGTACTCAGTTGCGCATCTCGTGAATCCAAGCTCGCCCAGCGTGGTGTCAAGCTTGGCGTTCCACGCTTGTGGGGCCTGCCGCAGCCCGTAGAGCGCCTTGCGCAGTCGGAGCACCCTATGCTCCGCTCCCTTGACAGCAAAACCCGGAGGTTGCTTGACGAAGACCGTCTCCGCGAGCTCACCGTTGAGGAAGGCCAATTTTATGTCCAGGTGATGGACGCGCCAGTCTTTTGCTGCTGCCAAAGCCAGAAGTAGTCGAACAGACTCCATTCGCGCTACCGGCGCAAAGACTTCTTCGAAGTCGATGCCCTCACGCTGGACAAAGCCTCGGACGACGAGGCACGCCTTGTGCTTGACAATGGCGTCGTGCTCATCCCGCTTGACCTTGTACACCCACTTCAGGCCGATCGGACGGCATCCTGGAGGTGGATCGACGAGCTCCCAAGTCTCGTTTTCCTCGATCGCCTTCATCGCCTCCAGCATCGCCCATCGCCAGTTTACATCGCGCTCGGCCAGCACAAACGTGGGTGGTTCCTCTGCACTGATGAGAAGCAGCTCTGGATCATTAAGTAGCCGGCCCGCCAGGCCTGAGGGCCCTGTGCCACCGATGATGTCATCTAGCCTGCGGAACCGCACCTCCTCACCATCGTGGAAGGCATCCATGAACTCAGTAATGTCGCTTAGAGGTGAGGCAAACTCGATCATCGTCGATGGAGTTCTCTGTTCTGTCGGAGTGATCGGCACAGCACCTGGAGTGCTTGGCACCCCAGCTGCAGTGCTCGGCACTACTCCTGGACCGCTTGTCACCACTCCTAGAGTGTTCGATACCACTGCAGGAGTGCTTAGCCGCAGTCTTGGAGTGGTCGGCACCACTGCAAGACTTCTCGGCTCTGCTACGGGAGTGTTCGGCACCCATCCTAGAGTGGTCAACACTACTGTAGGACCTCTCGGCATTACTCCTGGAGTGCTCGGCACCCCTCCCGGAGTGCTCGGCTCTGTTGCTGGAGTGGTCGGCACCTCCTCTCCAACATCTCCACCACTGATCTAGTCCCAGGCCGCCTTCTCGTCAAACACGACGTCGCGCGAGACAAGCAACTTGCCTCCGCGTGGGTCGTAGAGCCGGTACGCCTTGGTTCCTTCCGCGTAGCCCAGGAGAACCATCGGTGTGCTCCTGTCCTTCAGCTTGGTGAGGACCGGCTTTATCTTCCTGACGTGGCCGATGCAGCCAAATGTCCGGAGGAAGGACACGCTCAGCTTGCGCCCATACCAAGCTTTGAACGGTGTCTTGCCCTTCAGGGCATTGGTGGGTGCGCGGTTGAGGATGAACACTGTCGTGGTCACCGCCTCACCCCAGAACCTTGCCGGCATGCTCTTGGCCTTCATCATGGATCGAGCTATGTCGACCACCGTCTGGTTCCGCCGCTCCACCACGCCATTCTGCTGTGGCGAGTACGGCGTGGAGTGGTGTCGCACCACACCCTGATCCATGCAGTACGCAGCGAACTCCACCAAAGTGAATTCGCCGCCGCAATCAGTCCTCAGCACGCGTAGCTTCTTGCCGCTCTCCGCCTTCACGCGCGCCTTGAACTTCTTGATTGTCACCGTCACCTCGTCCTTGCTCGTCAGGAGTTGCAGCCACATATAGCGACTGCAATCATCTATGAGCAGGAGGAAGTACCGCCGACCACCGTTTGTGGCTGGCATGATTGGCCCACAGAGATCGTTGTGGATGAGCTCGAGAGCGTCCACCGTGCGATACTTGGCCGCCTTTGGGAACGGCAGCCTCCTCTACTTCCCAGCCAGGCAGCTATCACACAGCTCGTCTCCTTGCTTGATGTGGGGCAGCCCTCGGACCATGTTCTCTAGTCGACCGAGTGCATCGAAGCTGAGATGGCCGAACCAAGCATGCCACAGCCATGGCTCCTTGGTGTGCCGTGCTGCCAGGCACACCAGCTGCTCCACCTTCAAGTCAAGCAGGTACAGCCGGTTCTAACACCTCTTCACCTTAGCAAGAAGACGCTGCTCCCGGTCCCTAATCCCGAGGACACCGTCCTTGATCAGTACCTCGCTACCGCGCTCATCTAGCTGGCCAATGCTGATGATGCTTGAACACAGCTGCGGGATGTAATATACATCCATTAGCACACGGTGCTCGTCATTCTGGCACCTAAAGATGATGGTGCCGCGCCCTCAGATCACCACCCTTGAGCCGTCACTGAACTTCACCGTGCCGGTCACATCGCCATCGAGCTCGGAGAAGGCTTCCTTGGAGCCCGTCATGTGGTTGCTGGCGCCGGAGTCTAGGTACCACCGCTGCTCCTGTCCGCCGCCCACACGTCTAAGGTGGACCTAGGCGCGCGGTTCGTCGAGGTGGATAGCTTTTAGAGCCTTCCCAGGATCTTTCACCGCCATCACCTCTCCCTTCTCCTTGGCCTCAACATCGTGTAGTACACAGAACATCGCCATCAGGAGAGTGGCCTCATCATCATCATCAGCCTACGCCAGATGAGCCTCAGCCTTCTTCTCCTGCTCGTGATTTGGGCACTCCTTTGCCCAATGGCCCGTCTTCCCGCAACGCCGGTAGGCATTGGGGTCGACCTTGTTCTTCTTCTCCAAAGAAGCCTTGCCGTGGCGCTTGCCATCGCCACCGCGGCCGGAGGAAGCTTCCCCGGAGTTCCTCTGAGCAGCCCACTCCTCTATCAGCAGCAGCTTGCCGCTGTCCTTCGTTGCTGTGGCCTACTCTATGCGCTCATCCACTGCTCGCAGACGGCCTATCACATCCTTAATGGTGAGGGTGGACAAGTCCAGCATCATCTCTATGGAGAGAGCAATCTGGATGTACTTCGCCAGCACAGAGTGGAGGTACTTGGAGACCGCCTCTTCTTCGTCGATGGTGATGACGTGGCTTCTCAGCTTACTGATGAGCGTCTGCAGGCGGAGGGAGAAATCCCCCACCGCTTCACCATCCTTGAACTTGAGGTTGGCGTACTCCTGCTTTAGAAGCTAGGTCGTCGCCTTCTTTGCGTGGTCGGACCCGACACGCATCGCCGCAATGGCCTCCCACGCCTCATTAGCAGAGCTCTTTGCCCCCAATGGCTCCCTGTACTCCGATGGCACAGCAGCGAGGATAGCCTGCAGCGCTGACATGTTGTCTTCTTTGTTGTTGGTGCCCTTGTCAATAGCATTCCAGAGCCGTTGGGCTCTGAGCTTGACCTTCATGGTCACCGACCACTCGTCATAGTTGGTGCGAGTCAGCGTCGGCCAACTGGTGCTGCTGACCTCCCGCACCGTGCGCACAACGACTTCCTATCGTGGCTGGGCAACCATAGCAGCACCGCTGCTGTCGCCCATCTCCAAACCGTCCGTCATCGCCAACGGTTAGTCCGGCGACGGCGCTTGTACGGCTCCGATACCACTTGTTAGCCCACTCGATCTGCGGCACGGGTGAGTCGACCACTCACCACCGTTGCCGACCACGCACTATCGTTGCCGACCACACACTATGACTAGAGATAGAAGAAGGGAGAGACAACAGAGCACACACACACACATAGCACAAGCACCAGCGTTGGCCGGAGCTCTACAGAGGAGATGGCAAACTGAACTCGCTCTCTTTACTAAGTTGTAGTGGCAAACTATATATACAACTCTACCCATCTAATCCTACTACATAGACATGTCAGGCTATCATGCTGTTACAGTGACTAGATGTGACAGCAGGGCTGACTTTGGCGTCTGCCCCTGCTGCGGCTACAGTGCGGCAGGAGAGCCATTCAGCATCTGCCTCTGCAGCTGCTACATTGCAATACCAGGGAGCCCTTTTCGGCGCCGACTTCCCCTGTCGTGCGTTCATACAAGGGGAACAACAGATTACTCAACAGAATAGTCTATCTGTACAATGCCGTGCTTCGCATGATTCTTGCAAACTGTGAATACTGCTGGAATTGGAAAAGTATCTAGTAAAATAATTAGATTTATTTATGAAGGGTAAAGTAGATTTTTATTAGGTAGAAATTAGTGACCATAGTTTTGAATAGAAGTTTGATAAAGCTTAATTCCCTCTTCCTCCTAGACGTCATGGTCCTCTTCATGCCATTCGCAAGAATCCGTAACTACATAAAAACTATATCGAAAAGCTATAATAAAAAGTTGTGGGATAAATTTTGTCCCACAAAATATTATGCACACAAGTTGCGAGTATAACTCTAACTTTTAAAAAAATGGAAAATTGCATAAATACTTTTTTTCTAAAAGAGTAAAGTTGTGGAGGTTGTCCGATTGGTTCAATGGTATTAAATGTAGCTAAGGACCTATCTGACTCCCACCGCAGCACACCGCACCACAGCTCCAGCGCCGCCGAAAGTTTGGCGGTCGAAACGACCACTAGACTCTTGGCGAGAGTGGGCGCAGCGGCAGACAGGAAACCGCGCCGCACCTTCGACACCCCAACGCGCGGCAGCAACCAAACGCTGCAGTGTGTGCCGTAGTCCAAGTGCGTCGGGTGCGACTAAGAGCCAAACAGGCCCTAATATTCGCTGATTAGTTGAGTCGCATCTAGCATCTCCTTGATTCTCGACGGTCTCAACTTATGAGCATCGCCACCATTGCGTTTCAACCTGTTTTCTTGCAAAACGGGCTAAGTAATTACCTCAAATAGATGCACGAGGATTTGGCCTCATCACGGGCCAGTCAAAAGCATGTGCCGGATGATGATGGGGATTGGAGGGAGTTGCTGTCTCGGAGTTTAGACTCTAAGAGCCTGTTTAGGACAGCTTCAAGTCTGGAGGATCTTTATTTTTTTATGTCTCAACTCTTCAAGTATAAGCTGTAGTATCTGAACCCACACACCAACTCATGCCACCACAACACATGCTGACTCACACACCCACCCTAATACGTAAGCTAGACCTACACCTATATGAAGAGACTGCATGTGGCTGGGAGGTATCCGAAGTCCCACGTGGCTGAGAGGTAAGTCATCTATGGCTTCGCACATGTCACCCTGACCATTGTGGCGTGTTCACATGTGAGGCTGCAGATATTGGGGAAAACCCTTGTAGGAATCATGCGTCGAGTAGCGCTCGAACGCATGACCGGTGGCTTCCGCGTCGGGAGCGTCGGGAGAACCGATTGTCTGAGCTACGGCTCGTTCCTAGCTCTAACTTGGATCTGGATCCAACTAGTAGTGATGAAAAAAGGTCCATATTACCTCATCAACTTTTGCGAAAGTCTAATTTTTCTCCCTGAACTCTAAAACTAGGTAAACCATCTCCCTAAACTTTTAAAACCGTTCGTTTTACCTCCCTAACTGCTTATAAGCGGTTTATGAAGCATGTTTTGTCTTTTTCTTTTTTATTTATTTTGGCTGAATCTTTAAAAAATCATAGTAAATCACAAAAAAACATAAAATAAAAAATCCAATTTTGTTGGACTTCACGTGAGTAGATCTACACAATGAACATATAATATGGTATGTTTTAATACAATTTTTTGTTGTAGCTTTAGATCTATGTTTTTCTGTAATTAATTCATATTTGCGGTTTATAATTGGTTAATTATTGTATACTTGAACTGTAGTAAAAATTTCATACTCATTGGATCATGTATAACTTAGTTATAAAACACATTCAACATCCATATGAAACATATATTTGAAACGTATAAAACAAACGGAGCTCGGCGCCGACATGGACGTGGAGGTCGCCGGTGCGGAACACACAAATTAGTTTTCATTTTAATATGCATGCATGCGCACATGCACACATAACTAGCGACATGTATCCTTAAAAATAAGGACATGCAGTATTTTACTGTGTTGTAAGTGGATGGAAGGATTTTATGTGGAAACCACGAAAAAGGCAAAACCTCACGCGGGGACCAGGAAAGGGGCAAAGCCTTCACATGATGCAGACCGCGTGCGTGGCCGCATGGGGACCAGAAAAGATGCGGGGACGGGTAGGGCACAATGTAGATTGGGGCGTTCGTGGTAGGATGAGCAAGAAATCCCTGAATCTTGAAATAACTAACCTTTCAAAATATTTGTTGTTGGTTTCTGGCCCACTAATATTTAGTTCCGGACCACAACTTAATTCCTTTAAATTGTTTCTTTCAAATTCTTAACCATTAGATCTAGTTGAATAGAGGGCTCTGATTATTTTCAAGTACCCCAAAATTTCTTTATTCTCAGACATGCTAATTTGTCCTAAGCTTTACTAGAAATCTATTTATTCAAGGATAGAGGAAGTAGTAAGATAAAAAAAAGTTGTATATTGATTCTTTAGAGACTATTTATATTTATCTCGTGCTCAAATGACCCATTTTTTTTATAGAAAAGGGACTGCACATTTCAACACTCATAAGATCTGGTTGCTGATATTTCTCCATTTCCGCCGAATACCATTTTGCAAAGACCGTGTTAGGAACGGCATTACAAAACACTCTTCTGTCCTGATCGAATATAAAACTAGTTGACTTGACCCGTACCTTGTAAAAAATAACCCATAAACGAATCATGCCCACACAACACATTCAGGAAGATTAAGCATCGGAAGGAACCAAATCCAGTTTGGAAAGGAAAATCCAGCAACCTTATAACATTCCACGAACTATTTTTTGTCAGTACTGGAACCGCACGAGGCAGGTCGCACGTCTACACGGAATATCTCTGTCCGTTCCCAGCAGACAAGTAGTACTCTTTGGATTCGAGGCAGGAAACGCCTTGACAATCTTTGTCCCATTCAGACTGCGACTGCAGGACGGACGAGAGCGAGGTGGAAGGTGAAAAGTAGTACTAGTAGTAACTGTCGAGATTGACGGACCCAAAGAGTCTTCCCGGCGATGGCGGTAAAGCTAGATAAGGCGTCACAGTGCACCCAACCAAACTTCACAGTTCAAACACCCACTACCAAGTGAAACGAAGCGGATCATCTGAAGGACTGCCGGCAGAGCAGAGGTACCCCTCTCTCTATTTCATTAGTGCTTGGTATAATTGCTGCAACACTCGTGGGAGCCCGTCCTACCTTTCTGAAAAACAAAAAAAAACAAAAACAGAAACTTCTCTTAGCGTTCTAACAAATAGCTAGCTAGATGAGACTAAAAATAATAAAAAAACACTGAAAGAGTTGTTTCTGGAAAATTGTGCTAGACTAACTATCTGAGAGTCGTTAACTATTTAATCTCTCTCCTTCATAACCCATAGAATTCTTCCTAGACTAGCTATTTGGAAAATTATTGGAGACCTTAAATTCAAGGACACTTTACACGGTGTACGAGAATTTGATAGGAAATTGTAAGTTTGTGCATAACTCTAATCATCGCATGAACGCAACGTAGTTGTTGATCTAGTAACACGCCGCGAGGTTTATATTTCCTTTTTTGCAGGTGTCATCAATTATATTAAGTGCCTAATGGGGCAGCCCAAACAGCCGGCGAAACTCGCCATGCTTATAGCTCAGCCGTTGCCTCTACTGTGTTATGAAGCGGGCAACAGCGAAGATTTTCAGGCATTGGTCGAATTCAAGCAGGGCATCACTGATCCAAAAGGAGTCTTGAAGAATTGGAACCCGACACCCACTTACATCGATGGTATGGTGTGAACTGCAGTTCCAACCGACCATATCACATCACCGAAATCAAACTCTCGAGCAAAAACTTAGCTGGCAATATCTCTTCCTCTCTTGGGAAACTGGCCTTCCTTCATACGCTTGATCTATCGAGTAACAGCTTCTATGGCCCCATTCCTAACGCACTCACAAACTGTTCCAACCTAGCATATCTGGATCTCTCTACAAACAAGCTAACCAGTGTTATTCCTCCTACAATAGGTTCTCTTACCAATCTAGCAAAATTTTACCTTGACAGTAATTATGTCACTGGGGGCATCCCAAAGAGCCCTCGGGAACATGACCAATCTCTGAGCAATCAGTTTTTCACAAAATCAACTCAATGGAAGCATTCCCCATGAGGTTATGGAAATGCCACAACTACGAGATATTATCCCTAGTGCAAAATAAACTATCGGTGAAATTCACGAGGTTTGGCAAATGCCAAAGATATCGGGTTTATATCTAGACCTAAATAACCTGTCGGGTAGAATCCCAGAAATTCTGTCTAATGTATCTTCTCTTCAGGAATTAACCTTGACATCCAATATGCTAGGTAAAACATTGCCATCTAATATTGGCGATGCACTACCTAATCTCACGACTCTAATATTGGCGATGCACTACCTAATCTCACGACTCTATTGTATTATTGCCATTACTTATGATCATACGGGAATTGGAGCTTAAGCATAACTTAGCAACTCAGGCTTTAATGTTAACTAAAAATGCCTACTGCAGTTCAACCGTGTCTAGCCTTTTGAGCCTTCATTCGCCCATGTTATATTTGCGGAGTACGACATGTGCCCACCCTTGCTATTTCCCCTCACCCCCAGTCTCTAGCGAAGGTTGCTCAGATGGTTGTTGAAGACACAGAGTTCTCAAAAGACTGACGAAAGTGCTAGGCGTATGATACCCCCAGTCAATCATCCCAGTGAAGAATGGAGCCTAAATATTAGTTACCATTCCGCGATACTCTGATGTAAGTGTTAATATAGCTATGTATACATTATTTAATAACATTGTTTTTTATACTATTCATTCTATTTTTGTATGTGTGGACTTTCTGGGCACACATATAGCGAGCCTGGTTTTGTTCTTAAAATTGGGTGAGTTTTTTCATCAGTTTGCTAATGGTTGAAGAAGAAAAGGGACTATCATTCAAATGGAGACTGATCAAGATGATCACAGAGAAAGATGCTATTATGAAGCATGTGGTTCAATTTTACAAAGAGCTATTTGGCCCAGTTGACTCTAGAAATATCTTCCTGAGCAATAACTTTTGGGAAAGCAATAGAAAGGTGAATGCAAAGGACAGGGAGAATTTGATTAAGTTGTTTACAGTAAAGGAAATTAAACAGTCAATTTTTGACATGAAAAAGGATGCGGCTCCAGGCCCTAATGGATTTGGGGCAACTTTCTTCCAAACTTTTTGAGATTTAATAAAAGGAAGATATTGTAACATGTTTCTGGATTTCTATAAGGGTGAGCTAGATATCAAGAGAATTAACTTTGGGGTGATAACTTTAGTTCCAAAGGTTCAGGAGGCCAACAATATCAGGAAATATAGGCCTATTTGCCTTCTGAATGTGGATTATAAAGGGTTTACAAAGGTGCTTCTTGAGAGATTAACCCCAGTGGCTAAGGCAGTGATTGGGAGAATCGATGGCTTAGAAGTATCCTAGAAGGGGTTGTTATTCTTCATGAAGTTATACACTCATTGAGCAAAGGTAAATAGAAAGGAATGATTTTCAAAATAGACTTTGAAAAGGCATATGACAGGGTTAGATGGGCTTCTACATGTTGCCTAAAGGGGTTCATGGAAAGATGAACTCCATCAGAGCTAAGTTCTTCTGGCAAGGTGCTGGAGATGTATTTAAATACCATATGGCAAAATGGATTTCCATGTGTAAACCTAAGGCCCATGGGGGGCTAGGGATTATCAACACTTATCTGATGAACCAGTGCCTCATCACAAAATGGATTTGGAAAATTGAGAGGGGTTCAAATGAGATGTGGTACAAATTATTGAAAGCTAAATATATGAGAAGGAATAGTTTCTTTGGTTCAAAACACTTAGGCTCATCTCAGTTTTGGAAAGGCCTTCATAAGGTGAAGCACCTTTTCAAATGGGGAGCTGAGTATAATGTAAAGAAAGGAGATAAAGTTAGCTTCTGCCCTGGTTTGGGGGATACCTCTGAAAATACGGTATAGTAATATATTTGCCATATGTGAAAAGCCGGAGATTATGGTGAGGGATTGCTGACGAAACGGGGAGTGGAACATTCCTCTGCGAAGATGTCTATTTGGTGATCTGATTTCAGAATGGAATGAATTGCAGGATAATCTGCAGAGGTTTCAGTTCAATAATGACGACAATGATCAAGTGAGATGGGCTCTGGAGAAGTCTCAGATCTTTTCGACTAGATCATTATACAATTGTCTCACCCAGGGGGTGGGGGGGGAGGGGGGGGGGTGCGGGTTAGAGACAAACTAAACGATACTATCTGGAAAAGCAAAATCCCCCTCAAAGTCAAAGTGTTTTTATGGCAAATCTTTCATAACAAATTACAAACTGCTGTAGCTCTAAAAAAAAGAGGTTGGCATGGTAGCCCTCTCTACTGTGTTTGTAATCTGCCTGAAACTGTCAATCACATATTTTTTGAATGTGTGTTTACTCAATATATATGGTGTTGCATCAGAGATGCTTTTGGCCTGCAAAACTACCCTGTATCCATTCAGGAATTGATTTCCCAATGGATGCCAAGGCGGCTGGGGATTCCTAAGAAAATATGTTTTGCTTTCTTTGCAGGTTTAGCTTGGGCAATTTGGAGGAATAGAAACAAAATGGCAATTGAGAAGCTTTTTCCTTTAAACCCAGATGCAGTAATCCATGCAGCTATAAATTTCGTGCAGATCTGGGCAGGCTTAAGCAAGGAAGGCGATGCTGCCAGGATGAAGGACATGGCCCAGCGTCTATCGGACTGGATGCATAAGAAGGACGTTTTCAATGGACCATATTCAGATATCGCTGTTATGTAGGAGTGCTGCCTGTAGGCTTGCTGTCTTGCTTTTTATCTTAGGCTGTAACACCGTAGTGTCTCCATGGTGGGAGCTTTTCTTTTTCTTGCTTTGAAACTGGTAACCCCATTGTGTAAGACCTTGTTATTAGCTTTCTTAAAAGCCGAGTAAAACTCCTTTCAAAAAAACATAATAATTAATTATAGTAAAAACAAAAAAGAAAGAAATAATAAAATATAAAAAATGAAAAGAATAATGAAAAATCACATGAAACAAAAAATAAATAAAAATAAAAATTAAGAAAGGAAAAATAAGAAAAGGGAAGAAAAGAAAAAATAAACAAAACAAACATAAAATTAAAAAAATTAAAAGAATAATAAAAAATCACATAAACAAAAAAGAAATATAAAAAATAAAACATGAAAAGAAAAAAGAAGAAAAAGAAAAGAAAAGAAAAAGAAAATAAATAAGAAGAATAAAAAATGAAAATAATAATGAAAAATCACATGAAACGAAAAATAAATAAAAATAAAAAATGAAGAAAAGAAAAATAAGAAAAGGGAAGAAAAGAAAAAAGAAATAAAACAAACATAAAAATTAAAAATTAAAAGAATAATAAAAAATCACATAAACATAAAAGAAATATAAAAAATAAAGCACGAAAAGAAAAAAGAAGAAAAAGAAAAGAAAAGGAAAAAGAAAATAAATAAGAAGAATAAAAAAAACTCCCGCCCGCATGATACGTGGCTCCCACGCTCCTGTTCAGCGTGATGCTCGGGTCCGGCCGTTCGGACCCGAAGCTTTCCGACGTGTTCGCCCAGGCAGAGTTATTATGAGCCGTTGATCAAAAAATTATTTATTTATAATTATGGGTATTTTAGTACTTTGATTTCAGTCATTAACTCAAATCTAATAAAGCAATCGTTTTCATCTCGTCAAACAACCGATCTAACTTTCCTTGCTCCATCACCGGCGCATGCCTGCCCGTAACCCGTCGTCGCTCACCTGGCCAAAGTCGTCGTCGCTTGCCTTCCCGGTGCCCGCTTTCAGAAAAGTGACGCCTTGTCGTAGACCCCGCTCGCCTGCCCATAGTTGTCACCGTCGCTTGCCAGCCCGGAGCCCGCCGCCGGATGCATGCCCGCGATCTCCGTTGTGCACCCCGGCAGCGCGCCGCCTCTTGCCGTGTGGGCGTGCCGGCTTCACAGCATCCGACTCCGACGACCCTAGCGCATCTTGAGACAACCCAACAACGAACGAACAGAGCAAAGCCTAGGCAGCGACAGAACATCATTGCCGGTGTCGAGTCGTGATCCGTCGGCATCATCCCCGGCCACCGCCGCTGCCTAATGGAAGGCGGTGGATCCCGAATCGTTGGTGCTGGTTCCCAGGATTACGGGTCAGGCTAGCCCCGGACGTCGGATCCGGACGCGTGTTCGGACGCCCTGTACGCTGCTGCGCCTTTTCTTGAACCCTCGGCTTTCCTATAATTTGTTTAGCACTGCACCCGCGGAGACCGCCTGCACCTGCACTAGCTTTCCTACTCATGAAATAATTGTAACATAAAACACTTGCTGTAACATATGTCTGAAAACAGATATAATATTTGGAACATACTCTTGTAACATATGTGTATAGTCACTGTAATATATGCAACATCCAAATAAAATACTTGTAACATGCGTATGAAATATCTGAAACATTAGGAACATATACTTGCAACATACTGTATAGCCATTGCAATATATGCAACACAAAATCTACTTTTGCAACATCCGATAAAACACATGCAACATCCATATGAAACATATATTTGAAACGTATAAAACAAACGGAGCTCGGCGCCGACATGGACGTGGAGGTCGCCGGTGCGGAACACACAAATTAGTTTTCATTTTAATATGCATGCATGCGCACATGCACACATAACTAGCGACATGTATCCTTAAAAATAAGGACATGCAGTATTTTACTGTGTTGTAAGTGGATGGAAGGATTTTATGTGGAAACCACGAAAAAGGCAAAACCTCACGCGGGGACCAGGAAAGGGGCAAAGCCTTCACATGATGCAGACCGCGTGCGTGGCCGCATGGGGACCAGAAAAGATGCGGGGACGGGTAGGGCACAATGTAGATTGGGGCGTTCGTGGTAGGATGAGCAAGAAATCCCTGAATCTTGAAATAACTAACCTTTCAAAATATTTGTTGTTGGTTTCTGGCCCACTAATATTTAGTTCCGGACCACAACTTAATTCCTTTAAATTGTTTCTTTCAAATTCTTAACCATTAGATCTAGTTGAATAGAGGGCTCTGATTATTTTCAAGTACCCCAAAATTTCTTTATTTTCTCAGACATGCTAATTTGTCCTAAGCTTTACTAGAAATCTATTTATTCAAGGATAGAGGAAGTAGTAAGATAAAAAAAAGTTGTATATTGATTCTTTAGAGACTATTTATATTTATCTCGTGCTCAAATGACCCATTTTTTTTATAGAAAAGGGACTGCACATTTCAACACTCATAAGATCTGGTTGCTGATATTTCTCCATTTCCGCCGAATACCATTTTGCAAAGACCGTGTTAGGAACGGCATTACAAAACACTCTTCTGTCCTGATCGAATATAAAACTAGTTGACTTGACCCGTACCTTGTAAAAAATAACCCATAAACGAATCATGCCCACACAACACATTCAGGAAGATTAAGCATCGGAAGGAACCAAATCCAGTTTGGAAAGGAAAATCCAGCAACCTTATAACATTCCACGAACTATTTTTTTGTCAGTACTGGAACCGCACGAGGCAGGTCGCACGTCTCACACGGAATATCTCTGTCCGTTCCCAGCAGACAAGTAGTACTCTTTGGATTCGAGGCAGGAAACGCCTTGACAATCTTTGTCCCATTCAGACTGCGACTGCAGCGACGGACGAGAGCGAGGTGGAAGGTGAAAAGTAGTACTAGTAGTAACTGTCGAGATTGACGGACCCAAAGAGTCTTCCCGGCGATGGCGGTAAAGCTAGATAAGGCGTCACAGTGCACCCAACCAAACTTCACAGTTCAAACACCCACTACCAAGTGAAACGAAGCGGATCATCTGAAGGACTGCCGGCAGAGCAGAGGTACCCCTCTCTCTATTTCATTAGTGCTTGGTATAATTGCTGCAACACTCGTGGGAGCCCGTCCTACCTTTCTGAAAAACAAAAAAAAACAAAAACAGAAACTTCTCTTAGCGTTCTAACAAATAGCTAGCTAGATGAGACTAAAAATAATAAAAAAACACTGAAAGAGTTGTTTCTGGAAAATTGTGCTAGACTAACTATCTGAGAGTCGTTAACTATTTAATCTCTCTCCTTCATAACCCATAGAATTCTTCCTAGACTAGCTATTTGGAAAATTATTGGAGACCTTAAATTCAAGGACACTTTACACGGTGTACGAGAATTTGATAGGAAATTGTAAGTTTGTGCATAACTCTAATCATCGCATGAACATAACGTAGTTGTTGATCTAGTAACACGCCCGAGGTTTATATTTCCTTTTTGCAGGTGTCATCAATTATATTAAGTGCCTAATGGGGCAGCCCAAACAGCAGCTAAACTTCGCCATGCTTATAGCTCAGCCGTTGCCTCTACTGTGTTATGAAGCGGGCAACAGCGAAGATTTTCAGGCATTGGTCGAATTCAAGCAGGGCATCACTGATCCAAAAGGAGTCTTGAAGAATTGGAACCCCGACACCCACTTCTGTCGATGGTATGGTGTGAACTGCAGTTCCAACCGACCATATCACATCACCGAAATCAAACTCTCGGGCAAAAACTTAGCTGGCAATATCTCTTCCTCTCTTGGGAAACTGGCCTTCCTTCATACGCTTGATCTATCGAGTAACAGCTTCTATGGCCCCATTCCTAACGCACTCACAAACTGTTCCAACCTAGCATATCTGGATCTCTCTACAAACAAGCTAACCAGTGTTATTCCTCCTACAATAGGTTCTCTTACCAATCTAGCAAAATTTTACCTTGACAGTAATTATGTCACTGGGGGCATCCCAGCAGCCCTCGGGAACATGACCAATCTACGAGCAGTCAGTTTTTCACAAAATCAACTCAATGGAAGCATTCCCCATGAGGTTATGGAAATGCCACAACTACAGATATTATCCCTAGTGCAAAATAAACTATCAGGTGAAATTCCTGAGGTTTGGCAAATGCCAAAGATATCAGGTTTATATCTAGACCTAAATAACCTGTCGGGTAGAATCCCAGAAATTCTGTCTAATGTATCTTCTCTTCAGGAATTAACCTTGACATCCAATATGCTAGGTAAAACATTGCCATCTAATATTGGCGATGCACTACCTAATCTCACGACTCTATTGTTGGCAGACAACTATTTTGAAGGTCACATTCCAGCTTCCCTAGGAAACCCTCCAAGTCTAGGAGACATTGATCTATCAGAAAATTATTTCAGTGGCCAAATCCCAAGCTCTTTTGGAAACCTTTCACAGCTGAATTATCTTAACCTTGGTTACAACATGCTTCAATCAACAGACAATGATGGTTGGGAATTCCTGCACGCCCTGGAAAGTGTAGCTATCTAGCTGTTTAGAATTATCTAATAATACGCTACAGGGAGCCATACCAAATTCAATTGGAAACCTATCCACCAATCTTACACGTCTACTAATGGGTGGAAACAGCCTATCAGGTATAGTTCCCCCAAGTATTGGAAAATTTAGCGCCTTGATTCAACTATCGCTAGATCACAACAATCTTACCGTACAATTGAAGAATGGGTGGAAACATAACAAAACTACAGCGCTTAAATCTCCAATCGAACAAGTTCAACGGGACAATTCCACCTTCTATTGGCCATCTTACACAGTTGATATATTTCTTTCTTGCCGAAAATCAATTCACCGTGTTTGTACCACCTACCTTGGGAAACCTCAAACAAATGTTAGTGTTGAACCTCAGCTATAACATTTTCCAAGGGAGCATACCTGTCGAGTTTGGTAACTTTAGACAACTCACCACACTAGATCTTTCATCCAATAGATTCAGCGGGGAAATTCCTGAAACAATGGGCCCATTCCAACAGATATATATGATTCAGTTGGACCAAAATATTCTTACAGGAAATGTTCCGATTACTTTCAATAATCTAAAGAGCTTGAGCATGCTCAATCTTTCCCACAACAATTTGTCAGGTCCCATTCCAGTTTATCTAAATGATCTAAAGTCTATAACAAAACTAAACCTATCTTACAACAATTTCCAAGGAGAAATACCAGAAAATGGTGTGTTCGATAATGATACAATTGTTTCACTTGATGGCAACCTAGGACTGTGTGGAGGAGCCACAAATTTGCATATGCCTTCCTGCCATGTTGTTTATAGAAGAGAAGAAGAAATCATAAACTATATGGTCAAAATACTAGTACCAGTATTTGGCTCCATCTCGCTCATACTGTTCATTTACATTAGAATGCACGAGAAGAAGACGCCAAGAAGTCAACACTTAATTTTTCTTTCTTTTGGCAAGAAATTCCCTAGAGTTTCTTACAAGGATCTAGAGCAAGCTATAGGGAGCTTTTCAAAGTCCAACCTAATTGGAAGAGGATGCTATGGTTCAGTATACAAAGGGAAGTTAAGCTAAAATAGAAGTTGCTATTAAGGTTTTTGACCTTGAGATCAGATTTGCAGACATAGAAATAAAGCTATATGTGTTGGACAGATAACTTGTGTGTAGTACAAGGCTACCAGTTCATACAAAGATTTGATTTTTGAACATTTGAAAAATGGATTGGTAAAGCATTAATAAGTTATTTTCGTGAAGTGTGTCACATGTCTTTTTCATAGGACGTTTCTAGAGTCGTTGAGTCATTGTAGGCCTTCAGCTCGTTCCCCAAATCTACATTAGGAGGAAATCATGTGCCCCGACCACTTTGTGGCAACAAGGGCCGCGGTGCTTGAAATCGACAAGATAACTTGGTAGTGCTCTGCCTTGATTGGCCGTTGATCGTACGACAAGGACATGGGGAAGACCGGAAATGGGCTTTACACCTTTAACATGGCCTTACAACAAAACTATAGAAGTGGACCTGGATTTGGGTCGTAACTGAAGTGGCCCAAGAAACCAACGATGTAGATTGAGTATCTTAGAAGGCCCAAGAAGCGCCCGTTGAAGGGATTACTCAGCCAAGTCTGTCTTTGGCTCTTTGCTGTACCTCACGTGTGCAAACTGGCAAGTTTGATGGACTCGAGGTCTTCGCAGGCGCACAGCAACGGTGGAACCCCGCATGGTCGCCTCAGCCAACAGCCCAGCCGTGCATCCAAACAAACTCAGTTCTCATATGCATCACCCGGCTCTGTTCGGCTGGTCTATAAGCCATTTGTGCTGATTTATACGGCTGATTTGTTGGGAGAGAAAAATATTGTACCATGGCTGATAAGCTGGCTTATAATGACAGCCGAACAGAGGTCGGCTGCAACTACAAGGCATCATGCGCTCCAGCCAATACAAGTACTGGGATCCTTCCTGAAATCCTGATCCTGATTTAAGGTTAGTGCTCCTGCTGAACATCTCTTCTAGCCTTTCTCCTTTTTTGATGCCTTCTAGCCTTTGTCCTGGCTGCAACTGTTCGTGCAAATGAATGAAGCTGCTAGCAGCTATGCACTTATGCTATGCCTTGCAGATGCCAAGTGAATCATCCAAGCAACCGGTGAAAGTGGACATGCTGCATATACTGTTGTCGTTGCTGGTGTTGTGTTATGGAGCTACCAACAGCCATTGCTCGACAGTGAATGAGAGCAGTCAAGATCTTCTTTCACTGCTCGATTTCAAGCAGAGCATCACTAGTGATCCACGTGGAGCCTTGAGCAATTGGACCATGAGCTCCCACTTCTGCCGGTGGAACGGTGTCACGTGTACCACGACACCACCATTCCGCGTCCTGAGTCTCAACCTCTCTTGGCAACCTTAGCTTCCTTTATGTTCTTGACCTCTCCTATAATAACTTTGTAGGTCCCTTGCCTCTCCTTGGTCGCCTCCAAAATTTGCAGTATCTTTCCTTGAATAACAATAATTTTTCTGGGATCATTCCAGATGCATTTATTACAAACTTCTCCAACCTGACACAGTTAGATTTATCTTCAAACTTGCTAGTGGGTTCAATTCCTTCGAAATTAGGCCTACTATCAAATCTAGCATATCTCAATTTGGGTTCAAATCAACTCAAGGGAACCATTCCTGGAGAGCTTGGCCAGTTAAAGTTAAATACCTTGATCCTAGGCGACAATAGGCTTTCAGGTGAATTCCCAGAAGCCTTCTTTCGTCTTTCTTCTCTACAGTATCTAAGTCTAGACTTTAATATGCTAGGCAATGCATTGCCATCCAACATAGGAGAACTTCTCCCTAATCTCATAGGGCTTACGTTGCAAAACAACAGGTTCGAAGGTCCCATCCCAGCTTCACTAGGCAACAGTGCTCTAGGGTTACAAATTCTAGATTTATCATCTAATAATTTCATAGGGCAGATTCCTACTTCTTTGGGAAAACTTTCAAATTTGACTTTTCTAAACCTTCAGGAAAACCAGCTTGTAGCACGGAACAACCAGGACTGGGAATTTTTTAGCGCATTAAGAAACTGTAGATATCTACGGGTACTCTCACTCTCTTAGGGATCTCTTCCTTCATCAATCGGTAACCTGTCCACCAGCCTTCAAACGCTTCTGTTGGGTGGAAACAGCTTGTCTGGGCAAGTTCCACGGAGCCTAGGCAACCTTAGCGGCTTAATTTGGCTGGGATTAAGTGAGAACAATTTCAGTGGTACAATTGAAGGATGGATTGAAGATTTAAAAAACCTAACACGATTAAGTCTGGGATTGAACAACTTCACTGGGCCAATCCCATCCTCTATTAGCAATCTTACCCAGCTGACGTACCTTTATTTATACAGAAATGGGTTTGATGGCCCCATACCAGCCAGATTGGGAAATCTTCAGCACCTCCAAGAGCTGAACCTTAGCTATAACAACCTTCAAGGGTATATACTTCCAAACTTTGGAAATCTTGAACAACTCATACAGTTGGACGTTAGTCACAACAGTAGACAAGGTGGCATAACTATAGATATTAGCAAACTTAAACAGCTTGCAGACCTACGTCTTTCATCAAACAAGATTAGTGGAGAAATCCCAGAAACTTTTGGCAACTGCAAACAATTAGAAACCCTCAAAATGGACCAAAATTACCTCATAGGAAACATTCCAACATCGTTTAAGGGCCTACAGAGCTTGAAAACACTAAATCTTTCTCACAATAACCTGTCTGGCACCATTCCAATCTTTCTGAAGGATCTATCACTTCTCAATAAGCTGGATCTTTCATATAATTACCTCCAAGGAGAAATACCAACCAATGGAGTATTTGCAAATGCAACAGCTGTTTCTCTCATGGACAATTGGGGGCTTTGTGGAGGAGTGGTGGATCTCCATATGCCTGCGTGCCCTACAGTTACTCGGGGAACAGAATGGAAACACCAATTGATCATCATACCAACTCTAGTATTTGTCTTCATGGCACTTGGGATGTCAATTTACATTATATTCCTTGGGAAGAAAACGCCAAGAAGGCCATACTTAGTGCTCCTTTCTTTTGGTAAAAAATTCCCTAGAGTGTCTTATAATGATATAGCTCCAGTTACACAGAACTTTTCGAAGTCCAACTTAATTGGAAAAGGAAGCTACGGTTCAGTATACAGAGGGAAGTTAAATCAAGCAAAAATCCAAGTTGCCATTAAGGTTTTTGACCTTAATATAAGATTTGCTGACCGAAGTTTTGTTTCAGAATGTGAGGCTTTGAGAACCATTCGGCATCGGAACCTTCTTCCTATACTAACTGCATGTTCAACGATAGACAATAATGGTAACTAGTTCAAAGCCCTAATTTATGAGTTCATGGCCAGAGGCAATTTGGATACATGGTTGCATCAGAAACGTGGTGGTGTAGCTCCAAAAGGTTTAGGATTAGCTCAAAGAATAAGCATACGTGTTGATGTAGCAGATGCATTGGCCTATTTACACCATGACTGTGGAAGGCCTATTGTTCATTGTGATTTGAAACCAACTAATATCCTTGTTGATGATGACATGAATGCCCATTTGGGGGACTTTGGCATGGCAAGTCTTGTTGTTGATTCCAGGTCAATAGCAGCTGGACATTCAGATTGTAATAGTTCACTTGCAGTGACGGGAACCATAGGGTATATAGCTCCAGGTATAAATCTAAATGTTGTCATCTCATCATGTACTTGTATAAATCAATCTGTTGTGCACACAATAATTGTTTTCCTCTAATTTTGTAGAGTATGCTCAAACTGTTCATGCAACTACCTATGGGGATGTTTATAGTTTTGGAGTAATACTTCTGGAGATGCTAATAGGAAAAAAGACCAACTGATCCTATGTTTGAAGGTGAACTCAGCATTATCAGCTTTGTGGAGAGAAATTTTGCAGATCAGGTGCTAGATATCATCGATGCTCATGTCCAAGAAGAATGCAAGGGCTTTAATAAAGCAACAGCAATAGAAAACGAGGCCTATCGATGTGTGCTATCCCTCTTGCAAGTTGCCCTTGCTTGCACGCTTCGGTTAACAAGAGAAAGAATGAGCATGAGAGAAACAGCCATTAACTTGCATGAAATCATCATATATCGCAGCGATTAAATGAGACAAAGCCATGCTTCTGTGGAGATCTTGTGTAACTAGCTCAAATTGTCTTTTTTAGGCGGTCAGGAGGGGTTACCTGTAATGACAAATTTCGGTTCAGGCGTTCAGCCTGCACTGAACTTTATACAATCTTAATGAAATACATGTCTTAAGGACACGGTCATGCAAAAAATGTAATCGGTAGAAAGATGGCAAATCAGGTGTGAGTAGCCTGCTGAAATCACAATCTTTATTTGGTGCGTGTGCATCGCTACCTGAGGCGACACACATGTGACATTGCCGTTGGAATTAGGGGGAAGGGGCGGATGTTTGGCTGAGCGGCCGATGGCGAGGTTACCGGTGGGGCGTTGGACGACGCGACAGTGGTAAGGAATTTGATGTTAGGATTTCGGGGAAGGGATTTCCATGGCCAACGGCCTTAGAATGGGGAGGGGCTCGACGACGGTGGGCGGCCCGATGGTGGTGGCAGATTGAGGGGCGGTGGGAGATATCCGGTTGGACGGAGCCGACGATGTGGAGATGGGGGGCGGGCGGGGGGGGGGGGGAGGAGTTGTTGACGAAGTAGTGGATTGGGATTAGGGAAGAAGCGGCAGGGGTGAGCGACGGGAGGGGAGGTCGCCGCCGGTGGTCTAGGCGGCGGGCGAGGTAGCTAGAGGTGGAGTGGGTGGGGCAACATTGAGGTTGAAGATGAGCATCTGTATTCTTACCAATGCACACGCGCTGAGGAAGTGGCCTTTGCTGAAATTGATGAACAACTTGTCCGTCCCGCCCTGCCGCGCGGACCTCGCCCCGCCGTCGATGCCGGGCAGCTCCGTCGCCGGATGCACGTCGTGGCCGCGCGCGCCTCGCCCTGCCGCCGACGCCGCCCAGCTCCGCGTCCACGCGGGCCGTCCCCGACGCCGGCAGCGCGGCCGCCGCGAGGGCCCCGCCCCACCCCCACGAGCGCGCCGCCCACCCGCGCGCACAGCCGCGCCCTACACCGCCGTCCGCGCGCACGGCTGCACCGGCCAGGCCGCCCGCGCGCTCATCCTCGTCCGCCCCTCATCGTGGTCAGCACCGTGGTCAAGTTCTGGGAAGAAGAAGAGCGTGACATGCGGGGTCCAGTGCGTCAGTGAGACAAAGGGGAGGTGGAGCTTCGTTGTTGGGCCGCACTTAGCCAGCTGTTGGACCGGTCCACAAGATTCATCGTGACGCTGTCCCAAACAGTTTTTTCATGGGAAAAGTCCACATTACCGGGCCGTCCATGACGCCGGCAGCGTGGCCGCCGCGAGGGCCCTGCCCCACCCCCACGAGCGTGCCGCCCACCCACGCGCACAGCCGCGCCCTACACCGCCGTCCGCGCGCACGGCTACACCGGCCAGGCCGAATTTTTTACTTTTTAACTTTTGTTTTAAGTTTCTCACAGATAGACTCCCGGCGAAAAGAATTTAGAAAATAGATCCTTACCTCGGCACCATCTATGCTGGCGCTGAGCTAACACGTCTCGACGTCAACGTTTCTGGCATCGAAATCTTGGGTTCGACGCTGATGTAGCGCTGATTTTATAGGCAGCTCGGCGTCGTAGACGCCGGCGCCGAGCTCGGCTCCATAGGCGCTGATGGGACAACGCTATGGAAGCAGCGTGGTACTGATGCATGGCGTCACATCTTGAAGGGTACTGATGCATGGCGTCCTCAGCACTGCACCCCACCGCTACTTTTTTGCTTCACTGTTGAAGGGATTCCAAAAGGCTTTTATTAGCTGACAAAAATCGTAGCAGCTTTTGTTCGGAGCACAGTGCTCCTGCTCGCATCGGCTACATGGATGGATCATGGATTATTGTTTCACCTTTGCACTCTATCCAGTCCCGTTCATTTTGCACAGAAACTATGCCATGTGGAGTGAGTGACTTGTGAACACAGCGACTCAGCGAGCCAGCAACGAAAAGGTCACAGCTTTCAATTTCTAGCGCAGCAAATTTACTGATCAGCGTGTGTAAAAATTTCAGTAAAATTGTCGTAGAAGTTTTTAACTCTAGCCAACGTATGGTTAAAACAGTGTTGGTTCACATCTAGCATCCTTCTTCTCCCTTGTGAAGACCTCGAGTCCATCAAACTTGCCAATTTGCACACGTGAGGTACAGCAAAGAGCTAAAGACAGACTTGGCTGAGTAATCCCTTCAACGGGCGCTTTTTGGGCCTTCTAAGATACTCAACCTACATCGTTGGTTTCTTGGGCCACTTCAGTCACGACCCAAATCCAGGTCCACTTCTATAGTTTTGTTGTAAGGCCATGATAAAGGTGTAAAGCCCATTTCCGGTCTTCCCCATGTCCTTGTCGTACGATCAACGGCCAATCAAGGCAGAGCACTACCGAGTTATCTTGTCGATGTCAAGCGACGCGGCCCTTGTTGCCACAAAGTGGTCGGGGCACATGATTTCCTCCTAATGTAGATTTGGGGAACAAGCAGAAAGCCTACAATGACTCAACAACTCTAGAAACGTCCTATGAAAAAGACATGTGACACACTTCATGAAAATAACTTATTAATGCTTTACCAATCCATTTTTCAAATGTTAAAAAATCAAATCTTTGTATGAACTGGTAGCCTTGTACTACACACAAGTTATCTGTCCAACACATATAGCTTTATTTCTATGTCTGCAAATCTGATCTCAAGGTCAAAAACCTTAATAGCAACTTCTATTTTAGCTTAACTTCCCTTTGTATACTGAACCATAGCATCCTCTTCCAATTAGGTTGGACTTTGAAAAGCTCCCTATAGCTTGCTCTAGATCCTTGTAAGAAACTCTAGGGACTTTCTTGCCAAAAGAAAGAAAAATTAAGTGTTGACTTCTTGGCGTCTTCTTCTCGTGCATTCTAATGTAAATGAACAGTATGAGCGAGATGGAGCCAAATACTGGTACTAGTATTTTGACCATATAGTTTATGATTTCTTCTTCTCTTCTATAAACAACATGGCAGGAAGGCATATGCAAATTTGTGGCTCCTCCACACAGTCCTAGGTTGCCATCAAGTGAAACAATTGTATCATTATCGAACACACCATTTTCTGGTATTTCTCCTTGGAAATTGTTGTAAGATAGGTTTAGTTTTGTTATAGACTTTAGATCATTTAGATAAACTGGAATGGGACCTGACAAATTGTTGTGGGAAAGATTGAGCATGCTCAAGCTCTTTAGATTATTGAAAGTAATCGGAACATTTCCTGTAAGAATATTTTGGTCCAACTGAATCATATATATCTGTTGGAATGGGCCCATTGTTTCAGGAATTTCCCCACTGAATCTATTGGATGAAAGATCTAGTGTGGTGAGTTGTCTAAAGTTACCAAACTCGACAGGTATGCTCCCTTGGAAAGTGTTATAGCTGAGGTTCAACACTAACATTTGTTTGAGGTTTCCCAAGGTAGGTGGTACAAACACGGTGAATTGATTTTTGGCAAGAAAGAAATATATCAACTGTGTAAGATGGCCAATAGAAGGTGGAATTGTCCCGTTGAACTTGTTCGATTGGAGATTTAAGCGCTGTAGTTTTGTTATGTTTCCGACCCATTCTTCAATTGTACCGGTAAGATTGTTGTGATCTAGCGATAGTTGAATCAAGGCGCTAAATTTTCCAATACTTGGGGGAACTATACCTGATAGGCTGTTTCCACCCATTAGTAGACGTGTAAGATTGGTGGATAGGTTTCCAATTGAATTTGGTATGGCTCCCTGTAGCGTATTATTAGATAATTCTAAACAGCTAGATAGCTACACTTTCCAGGGCGTGCAGGAATTCCCAACCATCATTGTCTGTTGATTGAAGCATGTTGTAACCAAGGTTAAGATAATTCAGCTGTGAAAGGTTTCCAAAAGAGCTTGGGATTTGGCCACTGAAATAATTTTCTGATAGATCAATGTCTCCTAGACTTGGAGGGTTTCCTAGGGAAGCTGGAATGTGACCTTCAAAATAGTTGTCTGCCAACAATAGAGTCGTGAGATTAGGTAGTGCATCGCCAATATTAGATGGCAATGTTTTACCTAGCATATTGGATGTCAAGGTTAATTCCTGAAGAGAAGATACATTAGACAGAATTTCTGGGATTCTACCCGACAGGTTATTTAGGTCTAGATATAAACCTGATATCTTTGGCATTTGCCAAACCTCAGGAATTTCACCTGATAGTTTATTTTGCACTAGGGATAATATCTGTAGTTGTGGCATTTCCATAACCTCATGGGGAATGCTTCCATTGAGTTGATTTTGTGAAAAACTGACTGCTCGTAGATTGGTCATGTTCCCGAGGGCTGCTGGGATGCCCCCAGTGACATAATTACTGTCAAGGTAAAATTTTGCTAGATTGGTAAGAGAACCTATTGTAGGAGGAATAACACTGGTTAGCTTGTTTGTAGAGAGATCCAGATATGCTAGGTTGGAACAGTTTGTGAGTGCGTTAGGAATGGGGCCATAGAAGCTGTTACTCGATAGATCAAGCGTATGAAGGAAGGCCAGTTTCCCAAGAGAGGAAGAGATATTGCCAGCTAAGTTTTTGCTCGAGAGTTTGATTTCGGTGATGTGATATGGTCGGTTGGAACTGCAGTTCACACCATACCATCGACAGAAGTGGGTGTCGGGGTTCCAATTCTTCAAGACTCCTTTTGGATCAGTGATGCCCTGCTTGAATTCGACCAATGCCTGAAAATCTTCGCTGTTGCCCGCTTCATAACACAGTAGAGGCAACGGCTGA